AACTTTCCTTGAAGCTTCTTTGTGTTCTTCAAACTCTCCAATTCCCCCACCAAAATCTCAAAAACAATCATGCATGTATCCCTCTAAAAAAAAATAAGGGCTTCAATCATGCACTTTTTTACCTAAAGAAATGTCTAACACCCGATGCCTTTTGTGCTTTTAATCATTTTTGCAACAAAAAGCTCTTATTATTTGAAAAATGACCTTTTCTGCTCCTTTCTCACCACCCTGTCCCTCTCCCACACAATCTGGCTGGACTTTTGGTCTTCATGAGCCCATGCATAACAAGCAAGAGGCTGTATATGTTGGGCTCTAATTTCACTAGATCTAGACCCATATTATATTAAAAGCAAGTATTCATTGTGTAAGACGTTTTTTGTTGAAGAGAGGACGTGCTACAATGGCATCGACACATTACTGCTCACCCGTTCTTTAATATGTGTTTCATAGTCGGTGTATATGAAAAAAAAAATAATAATAAATAAGATTATATTCAGACTCTCCGTTCGTGCCATGTCTGGACTATTTATATATAAAAAGAATATATTCAGATTCAGTATCAATTTTCTAATAAGAACTATTTCTGTATGAATTATGGGACTTGCACTCTTTTAATTTTGGTTGGACATTTTTCTTTCTTTTTTTTGGTAAATCAATTGAACTTTGAAGCAGACATGTTGGCAACACAAACAATGAACCCCACCAACCGGATAAAAACAAATCCTACTAAATTATGTGTGTATTATGAATTCAGACAAAACCTGGAAAAGAATCTGATCTAACTAATACTTGAACCCTAGTTTGAAGATTAGAAATAAACTTTTAAAGGTTGGACAACATATCGCTTTAACATTATTTTTAAAGGTAGGGCAACGTCATTACCATGAAAGTTCTTGATCCACAGCACTTTATCCATGCATGGCTGTTTGGGCCCCACCTCTCGTTAGCCCCTTAAGATTTGGAAAGTCTTGAGCTTTGGTCAAATTGGTTCTGAAATCTGCATTATCAAAGAATACAAAGAATGCGGTACTAAATAGTAAATAATTGAACAGATTTTCAACAAATACAAAGAATTTTTGTCCCCTACTCGTCCTATGAATTCGACAAGATGATTGAGATCACTAAAAATATAGCAGAAATGAGATACCTTGGATTGGATGTGGCTTTCCTTCTTCTTTCCTTGCAAGATTGTGATCTTGGGTTTTGTTTCTTGTGTTGAACTGCAGCAAAAGGATTGGATAATGCCCTTATCTCTCTTAGTAAATCTGAATATACAATCTGGTCGAAGAAAAAGGAGCATAATGTTCTTGTTAATACTTCATAGTATACTTACTTTGCATCAATTCAATCAAACTTGTATGGAAGTTTTAGTTGTTCCCATCCGTCTGTATATTATATTACTATCAGCTGCAGTTTGACGTGAATCTCTGAAGGAGAACAGAACAGATTATTATTCTCAAGAAAAAAAAAGTACAGAAAAGGAAGATAGCTGGTTAAAAACTTAACTACAGAACTTCGTGACCTGTATGTTGTGTGCGTCACAATGCGCTTTTCACATATTTTGAACTCGCCATCTAACTTCATTGGCAACGACCATGATGTATCAATTGGTATTAGGTTCTTTCTGCATGGTTGACATGTGCTCGAACAAGAAATCAGCAGCAATTCAGGTGCTCAAGCTCCAATTTGTACACTTAATCAACACACCTGAAAGGAAGAAACCTGTTTGTAGAACACATTTCTACTTGTTACATAATCATATGTTGTATATCCTACTAAACTTAAGAACCCTAAGGAGCTGAGAATGGCCACAAGCACAAGGTTAAAGGCTTGTCTGTATAGCTTCACTTCTCCCGGAGGTCCAATGTACCCCACAAGAGCTGTTCATCATGCGGCATGGGATGAATTAGATTTGCCCTTTCCTGTTGGCAGATACTCTCAGCATCTTATAAGCCTGTTCTTCCGATTGATATATCCTTGGCACTGGCCCGCTTCTTGTTGGAATTTCATAATGGATTGCGTAAGGGCAGTACTGTATTCTCTGTTAGGATTAATCTACTCAAGTTTGGAGAAGCTGAGAAAGCCAAAGTTTTAAAATGCTGCAAATTTCGATAGTCAGTAACCAAAAATTAAGACCTACATTTTTCATGTCGGTTTGGACTCTAGAGTAGTTAATGACTTCACATTTAAACAAAATAATCTTCTTGAACTCCAAAATAAAGTGGTTATTTTTTCAGAAATTAATTTGATTTTCCCTCGAACGGGTTTGGTATGAAAAGAACATGCAATCAGTGCCTGCTTGCAAGTAATTACATGTAAAGACAATCAAAAGTGTGAACAATTATCAGGGTTTTAGAGCATTCTAACTTACTGGTACAGCAGCACGACAATTCTTCTATACCCAAAAATGCATTTGGAGCATACCGAATGGGCCTCAGATGATCAGTAATTGATCCAGAATGGAGTATATACTGCTTGAAGTTTTACGTCTCTTGTTGTCAACCATAAATTCATAAACACGGCCATCAATTTCGATCGAGCTCATTGCTCCTACTTTATGGATCCACCGTCTTTTATTAGTTTCCCAATGATCTTAACATCTTCCCATCTGTGCACTTCACCAAATATGTTTGCTAGAAGTACATAAAGCCCAGAACCATGCGGTTCCAACTCCAACAGCTGCTTCAGAATTAGCTTTCCCAAATCCACATTTCCATGGATCCTAAAAGCACCAAGCAAAGCATCCCAAGTGACAACATCAGGCTTCATAGGCATTCCTCTTACCAGCCTCATTGCTTCTTCTAAAAGTCCCACTCACCACAGCAGATCAACCATGCAAGCATAGTGCTCAATTTCAGGTGATATTCTGTAAATAGACTTCATTTTTTCAAAATAACATCTCCCGAAGTCAAGAAGACCACTTTGACTACAAGCAGAAAGCAGTGCGATGAAGGTCTCATCGGGCCAGATTCCACCTGCTTGCATATGTTTGAATATCACGATTGGTTCTAATCCATGACCGTGCAATGCAAGGGCCTGGATAATGATGTCCCATGATACGACATTCTGTTCTGGTATCTGAAAAAGAATATACAAGGCAATTCCAACAGCACCGCATTTTGCATACATGTCTATCAGGGAATTATAAAGAGTTACACTGGCTGCAATATTGCAGATGCAAATGTAATTATGGGTTTTCCTTCCAATAACCAAATTGCCAATTTGACTGCAAGCTGAAAGGACGTACCAAGGTAGCCTCATCGGGCACCACACTGGAATTAAGCATTTTCTGGAAAAGATCCAAAGGCACCCTGCACTGGCCTTCTCGGACATAATTTGAAATCATTGAATTCCAAGAAACTACATTTTTCTGTGGCATCTGGTTGAAAAACTCCTCAGAAAATTCAATGAGCCCTTGTTTAGCATATGCTCTAACCATTGACATCCAGGAAACCACATTTTTGTGAGTCATTTGATCAAAAATCGTTCATGCCAAGTGCAACTGCCCACACTTGGCATACATATCCAAAAGAGCATTTCTCATAATTTGATTAACTTCAATCCCACTAACCCCAATAAAAAGATAGATATATCTTCCCAGTTCTAAATCACAAGCTTGTGAACAAACAGAGAGTAAAGTAACCAAGGTGAACTTATCAGGCTCAACCCCCAATCTCCATTCTCCCTAAACAATAAAAAAGCTTCCTCCCATGAACTCGTTCTAGCATATCCACTGATCATCGAATTCCACAAAACCACACTCCTCTCAGACATATCATCAAACACATTCCGAGCGCAACTGAACAACCCACAAAATCTGTAGAGATTAATAAGGGCATTTTGCACGCAAACTTGAGACCCAGTTCCTAGCTTAATACCCTAACTGTGGACAACCACGGCTTCCCAATATGCAGACTGCCCCACGCAAACGTTGAGCACAAGGGGCAGCGTGAACTCGTTCGGTGAGAGTCCTGAACCAACCATATGGCAGTGGAGTGAAAAAGCCTTAAATGGGTCATCACTATTCGAGTAACCCCTTATCAGACTATTGTACATAAACTTATTTAGTTTAGGATTTTTGTGGGACACGAGCTGGGCGTAAAGGGGATTTCCGGAATCAGAGACGGAGCAGAAGGATATGAGTTTCCCTGACGGTGACGTTTTCGTTTGTGAGGCTGAGGATGATTTGGGCGTGGAGCTGTTTGAGTTCTTTCATGGAGGAGCACTGCTCTAGGAGATGATGCAGGGTTTGGTGTGTGGAGGTCTTGAATTTGTGGGTGAAATTGGTGGGATTTGGAGGGAGAGTGGTTTGCAGAGAGTGAAAGAGGCGGGAAGCAACGGTCGGATTTTTGGCGGTGAATAACATGGCCGTTGGGCTTTAGGTTTGGGGGTAAATGTAACGGTTTTATGAATTATAAATACCAAGTATTTTTTGTTCAGTTGAAAATATCATGTTGCAACAACTGGCCCTTCACTTGTACGGAAGGTCTCGAAACTCACATGAATTAAATAATACTTCCCTAGTGAATATGAATCCTTGACGATGTGAATTCTTATTTGAATGTATGATTCAGAATGACAGTCTAATAACAACACGTGTCGGATATAAAGAAAATGTAGTCCACAATCATGCCGTTCATAATGCTAGTGTAAGTTCAACTAAACAAGATGACTATTATGTACAGGTTCAGGCAAATATGGTTACAGAAGGTGTCACTTGCATTTCTTAAGAGTTAAGGACCAAGCCCCGAAGACAACATTCGACTTGCATCTATTAAGCATATAGCTAGCGTTCCTTCTAAGCTAGGATCAAACTCGTCCTTTGAGTATGATTGGGCCTCGCAGTGGTAGAACCTAGTGAACCATACGTACCACTTCCTAACCTTCTGTGGACTGGACCTTGCTTCTCGTATGGTGAGGGGGACGACCAGCCAAATTCACATCAGAAATCGACAACATCAACACAAACAGTTTCAAACCTAAATTTTACTAATTACAAGTAAATAAAATGAGAACTATTTCTTTTTCTTCATAAAATACAATTCAACAGAATAACCTTGTAGGTATACTTTTCTTTAAGTTTCGTCTCAGAACGACCCTATCTATATCTCCCAAAAATATCTGTATATGGATGCGATTGTTCTAACTCGGTGGAGCTCAATTGTTGTATATGACAACAACCAGCAGGACCTTTACAAAGAAGCAAGAAGCCAGAGATTGAACAGAGAGGAACCTAGTGAAAGAAACCAAGACAGGAAAGCCATGGCAGCAGATAACTGATATCTAGTACATAACTTGGCGGGGCAGTAGGATCCGTCGAGATACAGTAGGAGATTTGTGGTACTAGCGGTCGTGCAAGCTGCAGCGAGTGAGAGATACGACAACGCCTGTGATGAAACGAACATAATATAGTCTTAACTTAAGTTGGGAAAAGGAAGAACATGTTAATGGGATAAATAAGTTTATAGACAAAAACACATACCAAGTCTCCTAAAATAATTATTATAATTATTCTTGGTTGATGATGCAAACATCTAAAGAAGACAGAGTAGACATCAACGATCACCAGAGTCATGCTCCACGGAACTACCAAACCCATTACCGTCACCAAATAGCTGCAACACCAACCAAGCAATGGTAAGAGTTACTACTGTTACTAGAAGAGTTTCTGGTGGATTACATTCGTCTCCTTCATTGTTGCACACTAGAAAAAACCGAGACAAAACAAATCTGACAACGGCTAACAAACAATTCAGATAGCACCATATAATCCCTTCAGTTTACAGGTTAGCACATGAAAAAAACAAACATTGTTAGCAAAGTGACTTGAATTTGTTAGGTTTTATAAGTTGAAAAGTTCTTAATTACTAAAATATATACCCCTACCCCAGAAGACTCTTTCAGAGAAGGCAATATTTTATAGGGTTGAGAACACACGCCATTAAGGACAAGTGCAGGGTGAGGCTATACATTAGAAGTACATTGGAGAAAGGCAAGCCGCACATACAGGTGAACAGGGCTAGACTTCTTTGGACATATCATTAGAACATAAGTTCTCAAAGACTAAGTCAATGACTAGAGAAACATTGACACGAACAGACGTGCAAAATTAGCCTTGTGAGAAAAAAAATAAAAATTCAACTAAGAGCAGATGAAACAACATGATTTCCGATATGGCAACTGGTACTCCTTTTTCGGAGCTTTAATGTTTACACTGTAATGTTTGGAGGCTGAAAGATTTGGCTTCCAATTCCCGATTCGGGAGCTTTTTTTTTTGCAATTCAGATTCATGTCAAACAGGCCATAAAATGGGTAAATTCTATCGAGCGGTTTTTTGATGCTCTATGATGTTCGAATTAGACTTCAAAGCTGCTAAAAACTAAAACTATCACAATCCCTGGCTTTGATTCAAACATAGAAAGTAAAACTTCCCATCGACATAGTTTCTAGTGAAGATACCCGAAATTCGATGGTGAATTACAGAGTCTTGAACAGTTCCTTCTAAACAAAAAGTTCAATATATTTACTTGCTCAATTAGGAGGAACTTAGAAACAAAAAACATGTACTAAAAATCTTCCATCAAGTCCAAGTATATAATATTTTGCACGTATAAAATAGAGTTAAATTTAAACCAGTACAATCTCTATACGATCTTTTCACAAATACAGTTTCCAGTTCTTGAGAAAACCATAAGGCAATATCCAGCTCAAGAAATCAAAACAGAATTTCCATCAAATTCAAAAACAGAGACATGGGTATTGAAGAACAAATCGAAATCACAAAAGGGTCGGATGAAATTCAACTAAAACCTCCAAAAACTCCTAAGTCGAAGAATTCGAAAGTACCAGAAGGCGGTGTAGCTGTAGAACTCGACGTCCAAGCACATGAAGAGAAGAGAGGCAGTGGAGAAGATGGTCTGCCCGAATCGCAGAGCCAAGCTGGCACTGGTTCCCAACGACCCCGGCAGTTCATCCATGCTTGCAATTGCATGCAGCTGCAGCCGCAGCAAGAACTCCTCATGGCAAACGAAATTCAAGAACAATTCTTATCAGCCACATGACCAAGTAATTGTGAGAAAAATGGAGTTCTAAATAATTGTGGGGAAATACGGGGAGGACTTGCTGTGGAGGGAACAATGGCAATGGGAATGTGAATCGTTGTGGTGAATTGTGAAGGAAAAGGAGTGTTCGCGGACAAAAGAACAGAAAAGTGAAAGGGACGTAAAGGGTACGCAGATTTTGGTGGGTTTTTGGCTTTGGCTTTGGCATCTCCTCCTTCATGAGGGCAGAAATGGTTTAATGTTCTTCTCCGGCTGGTAGCGATGTGTGGTGGTAATAAAATGCCAAACATTTTAGGCCACACTTAACGGATGTGACATTTTTAACAAGTTGTCTACATGTTTTGGATGTTTAAAAAAATTGAGATCAATTTCAAATGATAGTAAAAGGTTGGGAACTTTAGGGTTTGTTTGGTATCCTATTTGAAAATTTTTATAATTTCTCAAAACATTTCTTAAGAATTTTTCTTGAAAACAATTTTCTTTAAGACTCAAAAACTTGTTTGGTATGTGATTTAAAATTTTTAAATCTTACAACTAAAACTGGATAAAAATATCCATAAAAAGGAGGTCGAGAGAGAAAGAGGAGAGATGAGGAAAGAAAGTAAGAGATGATTAGAGGAAAGAAAGTAAGAGATGATTGGAGGAAAGAGAAAAAAGTGAGAAGATCGGAGGAGATAGAGAGGAAGAGGAGTGAGAGAAAGAATCGAGAGAATGAAGAGAACGGATTGGAGGAGAGACGAAAAAAGTTAAAAAAAAAAAAAGAGAAAGGGAAGAGAGAAAGAAGAAAAGAGAGATATATTTGGAGTGAGAGGGGAGGAAGGAGAAAAAAGAAATGAGTGAGTTTAAGTTTAAAAACTCTAAAAACTCTAAAAACTCACTTTTTATGTTTTTAGATAATAAACTATTTTTGAGTTAGTCTTGAGTTCAGTTTTTGAAAATAATCCTACCAAACAAGTTTTTAAGGCCTAAAACTTGAAAATTGTTTTTGAGTTTAAAAAGTTGAATTCAAGTAGAATATCAAACATGCTCTTAAGTTCTTAATCTTTTTTACATTATTAAGTTTATTATAAGCAATATTACTACCATATCCATATTAAAGGAGGGTACGACTCCGAACACTGTAAGTTAAGAAGAGGATCTTAACCATCAAGAAATATTTATATGGCACATGTACACTAGCGCTACGCGCCAATAGAATAAGAACATAAGTAAATTTTTGTCTCTATATTCTTATTTTGTTAGCACAAAAAACCAATAACCGTACTCCCAACCATGAGGGTGATTCCAAAAAATTATTAAGTGGGTAAAAATAATAAGTTTCTTTTCCTCCTTTTCTTTTTCCTCAATAAGGTTCTTTGAATCAAAGTGTATAAAATAAGGGAATCGGCCTTAAATTTGCTATTATATTATATGTCATTGTTTTTCCTTTTCATGATTAATTGCCGAGTGTATTTTAATACATGTCGAACAAAAATCTGTCTATAAAAAGGAAACTGATCGGGGCAGGTCCTCAACTGTAAATGGACGTTCTGATATCGTATATCATCATGTTACTTGAATTAAAACGAATAAACTAATATAAACGTGAGATGAGATTCTACTTAATCACTTTAATTTGAATTTTTACACTCATAATTTAGATCAGTTTAAAGTGACAGATTACTTTTGAAAACAAATAAACAAACTAATTGTTATCATATTCAAAGCACCCAAATAACAATAAAACATTGACTAAAAAAAAAAAAATGAATAACAAAGTAGTATATTACGAAACCCTACGTACTACTAGTTTTTTTCTTTGTTGTTTTTAAAGTTTGGATAACATTAAAGAGATCAAATTTTTGAATTAAATTTGTAAAGTAACTGATATGTCACAAATAAAAAATAAGCATGTTAATCGATACTTAATTAGTAATTCAATTATCTATAACCACATTATTTGATTTACAAATTTAACGTTACCCTTAGGGTATGTTTGTTTGCCTTCACTAGCATTCCTTGGACTGGACTAGACTAAATAATAGTCCAGTCTGGTGTTTGTTATTTACACGGACAAGCGTTAATGAGACTAAAGAGGACTCGCCCCGACTGAACGCCTCGCTAGCCGTTCTTAGCGAGAGCCCTCGATTTCGAGCAGACTCCTAGTCCCGTCCTCCGCTGATCCATCCGTCTTCTTCTCCTTCGTACCTTTGCCATCTCCCATCTCTTTCACGACTTCGCCGTCTCATCCGAGTTCGAGCAGGACGAGGAGGTTCTCAGCGACGACGGAGAGGCCTCTTTTGACCTCAAACTCTTCGTGGGTAACCTTCCCTTCAGCGTCGATAGCGCTCAGCTTGCTAGTATCTTTGAGAGCGTTGGAAATGTCCAGATGGTCAAGGTAATTCCTTGTTTTCACTCGAAATTTTGTAAATTTTACTTGAAATTTGGGTGAAAAGTGAAATCGGTTGTTGCTGGTTTAGTGTTTTGTGGGTTAAATTTGGAAGGTTTTTAGCAGGTGATATATGATAAGACGACCGCAAGAAGTAGAGGATTTGGGTTTGTGGCTATGTCAAGTGTTCAAGAAGTTGAATCTGCTGCTCGCCAGCTAAACGACTACGTAAGTCTGACCATTTGCTGATATTTTCTTATATATGCGAAAGTTTGTGATTTGCGAATTGGTACTTTATTTGTAATCGTATTTATACGAACGGGAATCTATTTTGAGAGAAAATGGAAATTTTTTGACATTTTCTGCCCTGCAACTTCCATGGCTGCTTGAGCCAAGTAGGAATAGAGAACACAGTAAGAAGTCAAGTGGTAACTTGATTCCTGGAAAGCAATATGTCAGTGTAAGAACACAGGCTCTAGTGACCATTCTGTCCTGGTTGGCGAGAAATGGTTTTGCTCCTACCGACAATGTGGTCGTGTCTCTGGCAAAATCAATAATTGAACCACATGTTACCAAAGAGGAAGACATAGTGGGTTGCTCATTTCTGTTGAATATGTTGGATGCTGTGAGTGGGGTTGAAGTGATAGAGGAGCAGCTTAGAACAAGGAAGGATTACCAAGAAGTTTCTAGCATCATGAATGTGGGGATGACATATAGCTTGTTGTATAGTTCAGCATTTGAGTGTGAAGATCCTACGCAAAGGAGGGAGCTGCTACTAAGGAAGTTCAAAGAAAAACACACAGGTAATCGGCTACACTTATTTACAATTTGCTATGCTATCATCTTAAAGCTCCAAGCAGTGGAAATGTGAAAAAGAGTAATATTATTGATGCATGTACATTTTTACAATGATAAGGAGTTCATGGTTTTGTATGTTGTTTTATTGGATTCAGGTGAAATAGGCAAATTTGACAAGGTGCAGTCTACCTTTTGGAGGGAATGGAAATTAAAATTAGAAGACCAAAAGCGTGTTGCAGATCGTTGTACAACATTCGAGAAAATAATCCCTGGTGTTGACACGGTACGCTTTTAGTCTTAGGACTTTGATTATATTAAGAGTGTTGTGCGTCCCTTGATTGATTCAGTCAAGTTAGAGAATAAGCACATTTTGAAGGATGTTTTAACATTAGCTGATGAATACCACTTGAACCGTTCACAGGTAGGCAGCTTTGTAGGCTTACATCTCTGAATTCTATAACATAGAGATGGCTTTTTCCCCCATTAAGTGATAGTGATCTATTGTTTCCTTGCAGATCTTTTTGTGTTATTTGAGTTCTGTCATTGTTTCTGAGGTTTGGACCAATGATGATATTACTTGTGAAATTTCGGAATTTAAAGGTGAAATAGTTGGCTATGCTGTGGAAACCATCAAAGCTGTTTCATATATTGTATACCCTGCAATTGATGGATGCCATAAGGTGCGGCTTGCTTACATCTTTGGTCTGCTTTCGGTGAGATCAGACTCAGCCATCGTAGTAGAGTCATAAATGGCAGTTTTGATGCAGCAAGTTGTTACATGTGCAGGCACCAACTTGCTTGCTAGAGCAACAAAAGGCATGTTATTGATTCAATATATTTTAATTGTTTGTAACTGTATGTTCATGTAAGGAGTCGACTCAGAGGAACTGTAGTGCAGGAGTACTATCGTATTCGTGTAGCCTAAACAAGCTTGTGTTTTAGTCTAGTCAGTAAATTAGTTAGAATAGCAAAATTTTGTCTGCTCATAACATTTAAATTTACATTCCCTCAGCTAAAACTTTTTGCTTCACTTTTGACAATCCTTTGCTCCAAACGGTGTGTATTTTGCTCGAGGTATATTCATGATCTCTTCCTTTTGCATATTGTTATTGGTTTTCTTCAAACTAGTTGGAGCAAGCAATTTACGTGCTCAAATCCAAATGTAGCAATGATCAAGGCTCGGCTATCCATTTGCCATTGCGCCTCACACATCATTGTGGTCTTGGGATTGAATGCAATCAAACCAAAGTTGAATAATTAAGAAAAGCATTCTAAAACCCGTCAATTGTTAGGAAAACACGTTTGTTATATTGATGTTTGGAGCAATACTACTCTTGAATCATGTATGTTTCTTTCGTTGGCAAGAAATTTGGTTTTGTTTTTATTTTTTATTGAGTCATACTCTTATCTAATATTATTAATTTTGATAATATCTTTAAATAAAAAGAAATTAAATTAGAATAATAATTTAGTCTCAGTCCGAGCAAACACCAAACTGGTTACAATACTATTTTCATTATCATGCTTCTTAATCCGACACTGCACCAAACGCTTCACTAAGTTAGTCCAGCTTAGTCTAGTCTAAGCCAGTCCAGCTTAGTCCCTGAACCTAGTCCAGTCCGAGATAGTCCGGTGCAACAAACGCACCCTTAAAGTTTATATGGATTTAGCTTTGTCAACAAGTATAGATGAAAACTGCCTATTGACAAATTAATATTTAATTAAATGCGCGTTGCTTTTCGTTTAAACTATCCAATATACAATAATTTCCCAAATGTCATGTTCAATGGTCTCTTTCACAGTGGGACCTCGAATTCATGCAACGCGGCATGAGAAATATTTCAATGTGTGCAAAACAGAGACACATACGTTAGATGACACTGTATAAGTTTATGGACATTTAGAAAAAATTATCTTTAATTATATGATAACATATGACATACTATCTTTTGTTCCGAACACATTAAAAAATCTTTCATGCAATCAAGGATTTAAATATTATTTGATATATGAATAATATAATTACTTTCAAGTCTTGCCACACAAAAGCACACAAAGTATCATCACGCATTAAAAAAAAGTTTGACAATTTTGAAGAGAATAATAGCATACAGTAACTCTAGTATAGTTTGGATCAATCATACGCCCCTCGGACCCAATCCAATTTGTGTGGCTCACCACCCACACAAAAGAAAAGGATATGAGACTATAGTTGAGAGATCATGGACAGGATGAACAAAATTTGAATGGCCATGTGCTTTGTTCCACTACCAAATGACAACCCACTGACATATTTAGGTTTGTTGTGAAAATTATTAAAAATTGTTGAGAAATTCATATACAAATAGAAGAGAGAATTGAGAAGAAGAAAAGAGTTGAATTTCATACTCAATTCTAGTGTGTAAGAATGATACAAACGCTTTTTTATAAGAGGTTTTTCATCCAATAGAAAATTGTGGCAAATTATTTATTTTACAGTCTACGAATGAATAGTGACTTTCCTGTTAATGAACAGTAAATCATCCAATTATTCTTCCCATGAGGTTTTTGTCTTTTTATTTTTGAATTTGGGACCTATATGGGCCATCCAACCTTCACAACACGCCTCTTTTGATGACCATATACCAATGTGGATTGCCTCATTAAAATCTTACTTGAAAAAACCCGGTGGAAAACAATCATAGCAAAAGAAAAAGAGAACAACTTTTTTTGGATCATTGATATTGAATGCATTTTTGTTGCCTCATTAAAGTCTTGCTAGGAAAAATCCTAGACGAAAGAAGAAGAGTACAACAAGCACGTGTCTTGGATGCTCTCCCTGATGAGTATTTCCTCCTGATTCATGCATTCTTCAATTTGGCTAATTACTAAGTCGACGTAATCCGATACCATCATCAACTTCTGAAATGTATATTTCAGCAGAGATTTGATGAATCGGTACACCACGTTATCGTTGGAACGGATTTGTCTTACTTCAATAACTTTGTTCTTCTGAGCTCATGTGTAAAGAAAAACTATGGAGATATGAGTTCAATCTTATCGTCCTTTGATGAATCCTTGCTTCACTTGAGCAATACATGTATTATCTTCATTAATGATAGTTGGAGCATTTGTTTGTTTAAGATAGACTACATGAGTTTGGGTTGTGATGGATCACTAATATTAACCAAGAACATTCACAACTAGCTTCATGAAGAGCAAGTATTCTGAATGATTAGAAGATGTAGCAACTTGTGTTTGCTTCGGTTTGAGAACCATGAGATTGCTATATTTTCATAAGTGAACACATATCTAGTTTCTGAAAGGGCTTTATGCAAATCAAAGAGAAAATCAACATCTGCATATCCAACAAGATTTCAGCTATCTGTGGGTTTCTCGAAATAGAGTAGGCTCATGTCTATAGTCCCACATAGCATATTTGATTCTCTATCAATGTCGAATTGTTGGAGCATAGTTATATATGCTACTAACAAATTGACTAAAAGCTATACATTGTGTAAAGTATAATAAAACACATATTTCACTAAAATATGGTACTTCTGAACCAAGTATCAATTCATCATTTCCCTCACGATGATGAATGATCTTTCTTAGCATCTAAATATTGGTTAACCCTTTGGGTGTTCAACTTATAATCTTCAATCCACATGGTTCTTTAATACCATAGTACTATTGGTGGATAAATATCGTGTTGGCATATTGTTCGATCTACAACTAGAGACAATATGTCCTCAACACTTTATAATCTTTCTAGACTCTTTAGGAGTTCCAATCTAATATCATTAACTCTTGTAAAAGATTTAATATGTTGCAACAATATCATAATGATAGTAGGGGTGGGCAAACGGGTACAGGAACCGCGGTTCGGGGCAAGTATGGGATGGGTCCAAAAATTATAAATACAAAATGGGATGGGTACATGTAAATAACGGGGCGGGCCGGTTCTAGAAATTGGAAAAAAAGGGCCCTCGGCCCGAACCATTGATTTCCTACGTTGATTTCCTACCGTTGATTTCACCCTCTCTCTCTCTTATTCTTGTCCGGGACTCCCAAGACTCCATTCTATTCTCAGACCCAATTCACTCAACTCTCCCCTCTCTAGATCTCTCCTCCTTGAATCTCATTTCCTCTCTCGCCGCCACCATCGTCATCAGACCTCTTTCTCTCATCCTGATTCGCTCTTGTCTTCCTCACTCCGTCCGCTACCAACATCATCAGGCCTCGATCTCTGGCGACGCTTTGTTCGGAACTGATTTCTGGTGACGTTTTGTGGTGCGCCGACGACAGGGTCATCGATGAGTTCATGATGGAACAGCCAATCCCATCGTACCTGTTCGCGTTCGCTGTCGACAAAGGGTTTGGGTGGTTCTTTCCGCTGGTGGCTCTGAAAATGCTGAGGTACATGAGCGCTACATCAATTATCATACACGACTGTGACGAGGTCTTCAACTATTGGGAGCCTCTCCATTTCCTTCTCTACAAATCTGTTTTTCAAACTTGGGAATACAAGTTCCCTTTTCAATTCTCTTTCTTTTTCCTCTCTGAAAAATTGAAACTTTGTTCTTTTTTTAGGTGTTTGTTTCTGGGTTTTGATTGTTTGTTATTTTCTGGGTTTTTTTTTTATTTTGCTTGTTATGAAATTATTTGTCTTTTTGGTTATTTGAAGTTTATTTTATATTAAAGATGTTAATATAATGCTATGTTTGGTTATAATTTGTAGAGAACTATTAAGCTCTGGATTTAATTTATTGGGGAAGTTGGTTGTCGTTGAAAAGTTGAGTGCTTGTTAACGTACAAGATTTTGTAGAGCATTGCAGCTCATGAACTAATTGCAGCCTTCAGATGAAACGATGTGATTTACTTCGTTACGGTAATTTCCAAAAAAAAAAAACACACACACACACACACACAGAGGATCCGTGTACCTGGCCCATTTGAAATAGGTTGGGTTAGGTCCAGTTCCAGTGATCAGATTTGCAATACTTGGCCCAGCCCGTCTCGTTTCCTTTTTAAGCGAGTCTGGTTTGGTCCATCCAAATTTGGGTCGGGCCCAGCCCGTGCCCACCCCTAAATTATAGCACTCATTAAGGCACTTTATATTATCCATGTTATTGCTTTTGGAGATATGTTTCAAGTATTTCATAAGTTTTGTATAATATATAATTCTCTATTCATACGAAATGAACATGTTTCACACTGGAAAATCATGTTTGTAGAAGTATATCACAATTTCAGGTTTCAACTAAGAACCTTGTGTTATATCATGTAAGTGTATTTAAATGGATTACAAATGCTTATGTGTAACCTTTTGGGTTTGCTGATGCACAAAACCTGAAG